CCCCCAGATGAGGTCTCTTTAGAAATATGACTGATCTAGGCACTTCTGAAGTTGTTACTTTCAGGGTCCAATATTTTAAAAAAACCCTGTAATTTCACAAATTAAAGTAGTTCTCACAGAATCTGCAATCAGACACATAACCAGCACAGTAAAGACAAGCTGAGAGAAGAAGCCACAACCTAGCCTTGATAAGTAAACAGCATTTTTCTTTAAAGTCTGCCCCATATTGGCTGACGCTACATCCATATGAGCATGAATCCTAAGATCACAACCCTCCACTGACCCAATTGTGCTAACCTTTGTGTGAAACCTGGGAACTACGCATCTGGGCAATTCTCAGGGAATGAAAAGCTAAGATATTCTTTCCTTTTGAGCCATCCCAGACCCTCCGATATGGTAGTCAAGTATTCTCCACTGGACTTAGATGAGACCTCTATTCCCTCATGTCTCCCCCAGCCTCAACACCACTGTTTAGCTTAAGACATCAAGGGCATGGTCCCACCAAAGGGGATAAGCATAGCTTGTTCTCAGCATTTGGTGCTTTCTGGTGCTGGCTATGAAAAGGGTTTCCATGTCCATGACTGCCTGTACTGCCCACAGCGTTCCAGTACGTGCAATGAACTCCCAGGAAGGCAATGCAGCTTGATGGAAAATCGATGCTGACCCTACAGAACTGCCTAATTCTGGGCAACTCTTGGGCACCAGAAGGATGAGGAAGGGTTAACAGGCACTTCTGCCAAATACAGAGAAAATGGGACATACAAGAACAAATGAAAGAAAAGAAGACTGATTCCCAGCCACTGGTTATTTTGTGCCTGGTGAATTTGCTGTTGGATGATCGATGAAAGGCTAATACAGCAGAGATAGAAGGTGAAGGACAGAGACTTGGCAATGGGGAAGCCAGGCTGAAACAAGGCTGCTCTCCAGCTAATTGAGAGAAATCACTAATTACTCTAAGTAAAGGAGCAATAGAACAGCAGAGCTCCAACAATGCTCTTCACATGGCATTTGCAAGTATTTGAAATAAGTTGTTTAGCTTTCATTTCACCTGGCTGTTCTACTTTTTACCATCATCCCTAGCAGAATACTACGCTCATGGTTTGTCACCCCCCTTACCATGGAACTGTTCCGGGTGACTGAACACAGTGTGGGTACAGGTGCGATGGCTTGCAGAGCCAACAGGCAGTCATTAACAATACCAATAGCAGGGCTGGTACAGCTGGGGGAGAGACAGCTTTAACCAAATCCAGGTTCCTGATGGCTTTTCAATAATTTTCTAGCCAGACATTTCCTTGAGGAAGCAGGATAGAGCAGAGGAAGTTGGGAGGGCATGAAGCAGCCTGCATGTGCCTTTGACATTAAGAATTATGCTCAATTAGGAGTCTGAAGATCCTGTCTGATCGTTAACTGGGTTGCTGTGTTGGGTAATATATTGGGTTTGCATGGCAAGGTTTTGGTAGCGGGGAAGCTACAGGGGTGGCTTCTGTGAGAAGCTGACAGAAGCTTCCCCTATGTCCAGAGGAGACAATGCCAGCCGGCTCCAAGACGGACCCACCACTGGCCATGGCCCAGCCCAGCAGTGATGGTGGTGGCACCTCTGGGATAACGCATCTAAGAAGGGGGGAAAAACCTGCACACCTGCAGCTGGAGAGAGGAATGAGAATGTGTGAGAGGAGCAGCCCTGCAGACCCCCAGGTGGGTGCAGCAGGAGGGCAGGAGGGGCTCCAGGCACCGGAGCAGAGATTCCCCTGCAGCCCCTGGTGCAGCCCATGGCGGGGCAGGCTGTGCCCCTGCAGCCCAGGGATGCACACAGGGGAGCAGATCCCCACCTGCAGCCCGGGGAGGACTCCACGCTGGAGCAGGGGGGGGGCTGAGGGAGGCCTGGGGAGGGAGGGACCCACGCTGGGGCAGTGCGTGAAGAACTGCAGCCCGTGGGAAGGACCCAGGCTGGGGCAGTGCATGAAGAACTGCAGCCATGGGAAGGACCCAGGCTGGGGCAGTGCGTGGGGGACTGTCTGCCGTGGGAGGGACCCCAGGCTGGAGCAGGGAGGGGTGGGAGGAGTCCTGCCCTGAGGAGGGAGCAGCAGGGACAGCGTGGGATGCACTGACCCCAACCTCCATTCCCTGTCCCCCTGCGCTGCTGGGGAGGAGAAGGGAGAGAAAATCGGGAGTGAAGCTGAGG